TTTCAAAACATAACGAGGAGAAATTGGATCGACTGATTAGATTTTGAGCGACCACAATCTTTTACACGTTGCAAGTGTGGCTAAGTGGCTTAGTTCATGTACATAAGAAAAAGAAAAAAAAAATCACATGGATTAGGGTTTAGCTGCATGTATCAGAAATCACACGGATTAATAAGAAATTAAGCCCATATTATCCCACTAATAAGCTTTAAGGCTTCAAGGATAATAATGATTTACTTTTGACGACCCAAGAATTTTCTCTATAAATGAAAAAGCCCTAATTTACTAGACATAGAATCGCCGTCTCTTTCATAAACAGCAGACAGCGAAGCCACTTAGGTTAATTAGATTCAGCGAAGCCACTAATGTTTTTATATTTACAATATTCATAAAGTTTTCATGTTTTCAAGTTTTCGAAAACAATTCTGCTATATACTAGATTTTAATCCGCGGTACACCGCGGGATGATTTAATTTGAAAGTTAGTATAAAAATATTTTGTAAATTGTATCTCCTTATAACATATTTATTTATATTATAGTTTACAATTGTTATTAAATAACGTATACCACGAGTCCACAATTATTAATAAACTGAGGATTTAACCTGTATTAAAGCGGTATATAAATATTGATTCAAATTCGTCTGCCATATAAATCCCTTCCGAAATATAACCCGTTCCATAATTTCTTAACCCGTCCCGTGATTTGTTTTTATTTTAAAATTTAATGATTACTTATTATATATAAAAGTTTACAAATCATACCATTCTCTAAGACATTTATATTTTAACAAACTAAAGATTTAATATGTATTAAAGCAACATGATATTTTAAAATTTTATAAATATTGTTATTAAGTAACATTATCCCACGGGACAATTTTTGGTTTTATACAATCTTTTCTAAATGAGACTGATTTAATGTGTCTAATATTTGTGGTATTAAAAAAAAGGATTTAATCCGTATTGAAGCGACGGATTAATGAAATTTTAATCTTTTTATTATTGTTGATTCAAAAACCCATCCCGCCAAACCCGTCCCGCCAAAAAACTCATTTATTTTATTAATATTCTTATTTATGATATGATTCTGAATCATTGTCTAATTATTTTAATCGATGTAGAACGTTGAACACACATTTTCGTCAATTGGATAATATATGTCCGTTTTTTAAATTTTGAATCACAGTATATGCAGAAAAAAATTGATTTTTTTTTATGTATTATATTATGATTCAAAACAGTTAAAAACAAATCAAACAAAGATGATAGGAGAATCATAATTATAAATCTTAATCAAATCTTCTTAATATCTAAATTATTAAATATGGAATATCCGGTGTATGAGTTGAGTTAAATATAACCCGATCCAACAAATTTTTGTGAAGGAATTCTAAAAACGGTTCGGTATCCGATATACCTGGAAGCATTTTTACCCACCCGTCACCAAAGTGTTGCAAAAATACTAGTATAGATGTTAGACGTTACATATGCAAGTAAAAGAAACAAAATATCAATAATGTAATAATTAAACCAACTTTTTAATCTAACCTAGAGCACCTCCAATGGGAGGTTTCTCTCAAACTAAAATGGGGTTCTCTTGTTTTAGGAGAATAAAAATAAATCAAAACAATTATTTAGGTAGAGAGTCGACTCTCTAGAGAGACATTTAGGAATCAGAGAGAACCGCACACGTGGCATAAAATTGGTTGATTCATTTTTAGAAGAAAAAAAAACATCCGTGTGTTTTCATTTTTCTTTTATCGGGAAAGCTTTGATGATTTCTCTCTTAATTGTTCTTATTCTTAGACAAAAAAAAACACGTGGCACTCAAAATTGTTCTTATTCTTAGACAAAAAAAACACCATCACCATCCATGTACTTCATCTTGCAATTTTTTTTAAGTTTTATGAAAATTATAATTTTTTTTTTTCAAAGAACCCCACTAAAGATACTACCATTGGACTATCAAAATTTTTTAAGTTTTTATACAAGTTCTCAGCTTATAAATTTTCACAATTTATATTAAACAGTGGAAGAGAGCCCATGGAGGGGCTCTTACCATTGGAGATGCTCTTAAGTGGCTTCGCTGTCTGCTCTTAGACGTAGAATCGCCGTATCTTCCACTTAGGTTAGATTTAGTAAATGTCGTGCAACACAAAATTTAAAGATAAAACACCATTTTGTGACATATCTAATAGGAAGATTTTTATAAGAAATTTGAAAGTTACACTAAATTTTATAGTTATTTGAAAACTACTATTTTCATGTTGAAAATTCACCATAATACCCTTTTATTTATTTAAGTATTATTTAAATAAATTAATTAATAATCAATAACTAAAATTTGTAATTTATTAATTAATAATAAAAATCAAAAAACTTATTTACAATATTTGGAGTAATCATTATCTAAAAATTTTGAATAGATAAAACAGAAAATAGAATTTTTGAAAATATTAATTAAATTTGTCATTTAACTAAAAGTAAATCATTTAAAATTATATAATTTATGAATTAAAATAACATTTTTTCCTAATTTTTTGTTAGACTTATTTATTTGATATTAATTTATTAATAAAGTCGATCTTTTGATCTATTGTCTTATTTTTCACATCTATTGATTTAATTTTCTTTTTTGTCGATTTATTTTAAAAATGTCGACTTATTTTTTCACCGGTTTATTTATAACATAATCGATTTTTTAAACTATTGACTTACTTTTTTGTTCAGCGATATAAATTTTTGTTGTTGACATATTTATTCATGGTAGACTTAATCTATTATACATTAACTTATTAATAATGTCGATTTTTTGAACTATCAACTTATATTTTATTTTCCTCGACTAAATTTACTTTTTTCGATTTATTTTAAACAGTTGACTTATATTTTGATTGATTATATTTTACATAGTCGACTTTTTTAAACTGTTGACTTATTTAATTTTACATTGACTTATTCATAAAGTTAATTTTTTGAACGGTTGACTTGTATTTTATTTTTGTCGACTTAATTTTCCTTTTTGATGACTTATTTTAAGATAGCCGACTTATATTTTAATTAATTGATTTTTTACGTTTTTGACTTTTTGAACTGTTGATTTATTCTCTTTTAAATCAAAATAATTATTTTTAGTTCTAATATTTAAATTTAGAATAATTAAATTTAAATTATATAATTTATATTCGTGATTAATTTAAAAATAAATATATGTATATATATTTCGAAAATATGATTATGAAAAAAAAACTAAAAACATACTTTTGAATTATATACAATTAAATATAGGAATTAATATTAAACCAATCATTATCCAAAATATTTGCTAAATCAACCCAATATCTAGATATGTTTTAGGGTAATTTACACAAATGGCACTAAAAAGGCTTATTATTCCCGAAATGGCACTTTCTTTTGAAACTTCCAAAAATAGCACATAAAGTTTTTAATCCTCTAATTAATTAAAACAGAAAATACACAAAACCTAATTTCATTTCTTCCAAACCCGACGGCTTCGCTTCCAACATACTTCACCTTCGAAAAACTTGACGACTCCGTCGACCTCCACCTTCGCCGTCGACCTCGACTTTCGCCGTCGACCTCGACTTTCGCCGTCGACCTCGACCTTCGTCGTCGCCCTCGACGACTCCGTCGGTCACCGGATCTGATTTCTCCACCGGAGATTCGAAGACTTTGTCGGATTCATTCTTCTCCGGTGAGTTTGTGTAATTTCCCTCACTCTCCAATTCTTCTCCGGCTAGTTTCTGTAGTCCTTTCATTCACTTGATTCGATTCAACAAATGCTGAAAGATAATCGGTGAAATTCGATTCCGATTTAGGGTGAAGTTTTTTGTCATTGGGGACAATGATTAGATCACTGTCATTTTCACTGCGATTTGTGACATAGGGCTTTGCTATAAGTGAATCAATTTTAGGATACTTGTATTTCAAACATTGTTGATGAAAATGGTGTACTTGATATGTTTAATTCATAGTACATTCTTTTGTTCTCTAGATTGCTGAAATTAAGAAATGATTGAGTACTAGAAATGAATTTGGGGCTTTATTGTTCTCTTTTTGGCTGAAATTAAGAAATGATTCTCTATAATATTTGTGATTTTTGATTCCATTGGAAGATTTTCTAATCGTTGGTATGGTTTGTGTTGTTTCTCTGCTCTATTTATAACCAAACAAAGTGTTCTTAAGCTCCTTACACTTAATGAATCTATAGATGTATGAATACAAAAGCTACCGTCATTCTGTGATATATAGACACTATTATATGAATTCATAAGCTTGCTATGTTAGCTTTCATTGTCATTGAAAGTTTGAAGGTACAGAAATCTGTAATTTTGTGTTGCTAAGTATTCAGGATAGCCTTCCCGAAAATCTTCTGTGATTCTGTGTTGCTTTTAAGATATTTATTATTACTATCATATGGTATTGTAGTATTTTGGAACAAAAACGTTTTACAATACATTCATGTTGCAGTTTTATAATCTTTATGTATATCTGAATTTGGGATTGATGTTTCAAATGGCGGATGTTCTTATGAATATGTGGAACTTATCTACTAGATTTAGTTTTTTTTTGCTGCTACAAACAGCCTACAGCCGAATCAGTTTAATAGAGAAGCCCACTGCATTCTTGTGTGAGAAATACACGAGCTTACCATCACCGCAACTTTCTCAAATACTGAATATTGAAGCATCTAATCATGTAAATTCAGTCTCTTCTTTTTATGGTTTAAACTAGTTTTGGGAAAGATTTATAGTAATTCGGGATGACCTTCCTGATTTGGGAAGGATTTATAATAATTCGGGATGACCTTCCTAATTTGGGAAGGATTTATAGTAATTCGGGATGGCCTTCCTAAAATATGTAATTGAATGTATTAAGTCTGCTGAATGTGTTTGTTTTTGTGCAACTGAATGTATTTTGCATCTCACCTTCAAAACCTGATGATCCTGAAGATAAAGTTTCATTGGAAGACGAAGATGATCCAGAATTAAGTCTGCTGGTCGAGCTTCTAGGTAAAGGTTACAAAATGAAATCTGAAGATTGGACAAAATGTTCAACCACTACTTGAACCCAAGACCTATTGATATTGTAACAAAACATATAACCAGTAAACAAAGCTTCTCATTCGTGAATATCTTACAAATGAGCATCCTGAATATGTTTTAGGAAAGTCATCCTAAATATGTATGTGCCCTTCCTAAAACATATACAAATGAGCATCCTGCTCTATTCCATGTACAGCACTGATAGAAGAAGTTCCGACTGATGGATGAAGTACCTACAAGCAAAAAACATAGACAATAAAATAGACAGAGAGTTAAAATTGAAAACACATGACTAGAAAGCATCATATCTGTATATTGCATTATTTAGGGAGGTCATCCTAAAATACACGTATCCTTCCTAAAACCTATGAAAATGAGTTTTTACCTTCTACTTTGCATGTGCAGCCAACAAGATTTCTAATGCAAAATCAAACTAAAAAAAATCTAAAGAGACAACAAGATTAGCTGCAAAAGACAACAACATTCCTGTAATGTCTAAACAATCCATGGGTGGAATACAAATGATTATAATATCCTAATTGGGCAAAACTTGGTGCTTCTAATAAGCTCTGTAGACTCTGTAAAATAAAATAGTTGTAGCCTGTTATTAGACAAAAGAAATCATGGATTGTATTGTTAGCTGTGATTGAGGAACAAATTAAATAACACTCATAGTAAACTAGAAACTCGAGAGCAACAATCAAATCCAAGAGCTATTAATCAAGAACTAATCACTAAAAGAGTTCAAATCGAGAGCTAATCAAATGGAGGAGCTAATCAAATCCAGAACTATATCCACATCCAATCAAAGCGAGAGCTACACTCACAAGCTAATCAAATCTAGAGCAAAATCACAACGTTGATCAATTTTAGGAGCTACAAACCCAGAAATACATCCACATCGAACCAAATCCAGATCTACAATCACAAACCTCTAATCAAATGCAGGAGTTACAAATCGACATCAAACCATATCCAGAGCTACAATCATAAACGTCTAATTAAATGCAATGGAGGAGTTACAAATCCAGAGCTACAATCACATACCCATGATTTCGCCGTGAATCCCAGAAATTAACTCTCTGATTGAAGCTCTAAGATCGGAAGCTTCAACGGAATTAAAGATCGGAGATTGGAAGCTTTACCGGAATTGAAGATTGGAGATTGATAGCTTCAGAGGAAACAACAATCGTAAGCTTCTCCGTCGAATGTGTTTAATGTTTATTTTCTATTTTAATTTATTAATTCTTAAAAATCAAAAATAAGGTAAATGAGTGCTATTTTTGTCAAATAAACTTGGAGATGCTATTTTTGTCACAAAAACTTCATTTAGGGCTATATGAGACCATTTTTCTATGTTTTATTATTTATGAAAATTCATAATTTCTATAATTATTAGTTTTAGTTTCATCATTATCTAACATTTCCATAAAATAAAAATATTTTCGAGCATATTTTTTCTGGAAGCCCCCTTGGCACATTGGTTGACCAAGGGTTGATTAATGCTTCTACACCAAGAGGTCTGGAGTTCGAGTCCCAGATATTACGATTTATTAACAAATTTGCAGATTAATGGAGATAAGTGTGTAAGAGATCTCCAGCGATATACAATTATACCCGTTCGCCAGGTTGTAGATCATTGAATGTATTCATCAAGATTATAAAGAAAGCAGTATAGTCTGTCGTGGATCTAGTAAGGGTCGGAAGGAATTGTCAGTTGTAGAATCGTCTATGTAACAGTTCTCATAATTTGCAACTAATAATAAATATAGACGACAAAAAAATATATATATATAAACAGATTAATTTTGAATTTTAATCAATATTTGTAAAAACTAATTAATCAATTTTTTTTCTACTTTTTACTTATTAATTAAGGACAAAAATATCATTTTGGAATAATAATAAAGTACATCTCAAATTTCTCAAAATTATAGTATACTTTTCAAATTCTTAATAAATAATAATTGCTAATTTCTATAATTAGGTTAAACAAATATCTATTTTAAACACCAAAAATTTACAAATTGGAAAAATAATTTCCTAAATTAATTCAAAACAATAGTTAACTTCTTTAGTTAATTCAAATAATCTACGTTTCGATGTGATTCATTTATGATATTTTGATATTTGATCTAACTGGATTATATGCATCTCATTTTGCGGTTGTTAACAGAAATTAACTCATTGTTCAATCAATATTAATTTTTTTATAATAATATTATTTTCTTTTTCATATCTTAAAAAAAATTATCCATATTTGAGTGTTCTATAAAAATATATATTTATTTTTTTATATTATATATATGGACTGAAATTATTATTTTATCATTTACTACTATAATATATCAAATTTAATTCAAAAGTATATGATATAAATTTTTTTAATTAAATGAAATTCAATACGTGCTATAGTCTAGATCAATAATATACAAATCTGTATCTTTGGTGGGTCAATTGCTTTTCTATGAAGTTATGTCCTTAAAGAGACAAAAAAAATATCATTTTTCCATCTTATATATTATAATTAATTACGGATTTTGCCACTTTTTGAATAGTATGTAGTTTTTAACTTTTTCAGGTTACAAAAATATGATTTAACATTCGCTTTACGTGTTATGTTTGGATTTAGTCGGTTTCATTTGTTCTTATGGTCTAATATTTGGTATAAAGTATATATTTTTGCAAAAAAAAAAAAAAAATCGTAAATTGGTAACAAAAAAATCAAAAATGGCAAATTCGTAAGCTTTAAGTAAAAATAACATTTTCAAAAAAATTTGATGAATAAAGGCAAAATCAACAATAATCCCTATGTATTAGTTCGTTCCTCTTCTATTGTAGCATTACTTTCCTTTTTTTGTTTAAATGTTCCTTAAATTCCTTTTCTATCGCACAATATACTATTATCATATCAGTTTTTTAAGTATACATAATCCATTCATAATATTTCATTACCAAAATCGTAATACTTAACATTACTATGCTTTTTATAGTTTATCGTTATTAAAATAATGTTTCTATACAAAGACTAGGGTATATACTATATACACATCTTTTATATAAAGGCCACCGAGAGAGTACTTTAAAATATCTTTCTCACTTTCTCTCTACCACCAAACCTCCCATACCACCGTCACCAGAGCTCCGACATAACCACAAAAGACTGTGGCGCTCACCACAGCCACTCATCATCATGCAACCGCCGCTGTGTAATCTGGCCAATAATAATAATCCTCTTCTTAATCTTTCTCGTAATTTTCCTAGTTTGGGCAATCCTTCATCCATCAAAACCACGCTTTATCCTTCGAGACGCCACCGTCGTCAACTTCAACGTCTTCGGCAATCCACCGCACCTCACCTCAAGTTTCAAAATCACTCTCTCCTCTCGTAACCCTAACGACAAGATCGGAATCTACTACGACCGTCTTGACGTCTACGCTTCTTACGGGAACCAACAGATCACTTCTCCGACTGCCATGCCGACGACTTATCAAGGACATAAAGAAGTCAAAGATTGGTCTCCTTTCGTCGGTGGAAACTCCATTCACCTCGCTCCGTACAATGCCTTGAATCTCGAGCAGGGCACGATCATGTTGATGCTTCATCTTAACGGCAGAGTTCGTTGGAAATTTGGTACCTTCATCACCGGAAAATATCATCTCTACGTTAGATGTCGGGCGTTTATCAACATCGGTAATAGTGCTTCCGGAGTGAAGCAGCAACAGCACGAGACCTCATGCATGTCTCTTATCTTTGGATGATGGATAATAATAGTAGTAAAAGACAAAAACAAAGTTTATTTTTATTGATGATCGATGATTTAATTTAAATATCGATTTCTATATGATGATAATGTATCTTCTCTATGACAAAAAAAAAAAAAAATAATGTATCTTCTCTTGTTTCATTGACTATGATTTTGTGGTGATCCAGAGTAACGACAGTTGAATTTTAGAAATATCTAATCGAATGATAACCATTCGCTAATGCTTGTGTTACTGTGTCATTGTCTAGTGTATAGACGTACTTCATAGATGTCTTGTCTTTTTTTTTTTCTAAAACAGAATCAAAACCCATTCTCATAGTTCTTCAATTTTCCATCATATATAGTTTAGATCTTCAAGTTGGCTTTTAGCAGCAGATTAAGTACATTAAAAGGAACCTTGATCAAAGCTGTATTCCTAATATATTGGTCATTTTGTCTCCTAAATATTCTTGCATCCTGAATGAGAAAAAGCAGAATTAGGTTGCTTATTTTACAAGAATTAGGGTATTTTTCTCCTACGTACGAATCTCATGAATTATTCATCTTTTTTTTGGTTAATAATGAAGTCAATTTATCTTTCTCTTGTATAGTCATCTTTATATTCAACTGCTTCGACTATTTACCCGAAAAAAAACGAAAAGAAGGTTGCCTCTTTTGCAAGAGATTGTTAGGCGTAATTCTCCAGCTGGAATCCAATTTCCCCAAGAGAAGAAACTTACGAAAGATTCACTTCATGTGCTGTTATTATTATCTTCGATATGTATATATATTTCAGTATCTTACCCAAAAAAGTTCAATATAAGAACATTCAAAATATAGCATAAGAGCGAGGTCCAATTATAACGCAATGATCGTTACCAACTAATATTTGATGTGTTTGTGAACGACTTCTATTTGTTTTTATGCATTTTTTGATAAGAAATTCTCGTAACAAAACTTGAAAGTAACAACCACTTACACTTTAAAACTTCAAAGTTTTGAACTCTCACAATAAACAATAAAAATAACAATTTTGTTATTTTAAACCTTAAAACGACATTTGTGTTCGCGAATCAACATAAATTCAGAAAAAATTGATTTCATCACAAAAATATTTGTTTTTCATTATAAACTTATAACTAATGACCTAGCTTTAATAAGTAATTTCACAGGAAACGAAGAGAACTCTAGATGAACTGAGACTGCTGATTTCCCAATGAATCCAGAAGCCTTCACGGCCATGACGACGTCAACTTCTTAGGCTTCCTCCTTCCTCCGGCTCACAACAATCGGTGATTGGTTTTCATTTTCTGACAAGTCTTTAGGTAAGGACTTAATTGTCAGGCTTTACCTATACTCTGTTTTCCTCTGTTTTTCTGCACGAAGAAGAAGTCTTTATTCCACAAAAGTTTCTGTGATGGCTAATGTAAGTAAGATCTTGTACATGGTTTTGCTTTAATCACATCTACGTTTTTCAAACTGCACCGTTACCATGAAAATAAACAACGAAAAGAGAGAGAACGTTGCAACTAGAGTGTTCTTGCAAATTATGCTTGATGCAATGTTTATGTTTATTGGATTTTTGTTTTTGACTGCTTATATTCTCTATGGTCAGGTTGTGGAGCTGAAAGTGAATTTGCATTGCGACAAATGCATCAGGAAAATACTTAAAGCCATCAAGAAAATAGAAGGTAACATTTGTGTAAATTTTCTCCTTAAATATATATACCTTGTAAGATTATTATGGTTTATATCTCTAAATAATTATATTTGATGAAAATTACAGATATAGAGACATACGATGTGGACACACAGCTCAACAAAGTGACAGTCACAGGGAATGTAACAGAGGAACAAGTGATTAGGGTTCTTTAAAAGGTGAGGAAAGCTGCTGTTAAATGGGACCAAGACAATCAAACTCTCTTTGCGAACTAGAGTCTTTTTGCTTTCCTCAGATTTATATCTTCTCCTTCACAATAGTTAGGTCTATATGTATGTATGCTCAATTGATCTTTTAAGCATGTGCTGCATGATTCATGAGGATTTGGTATACACGACAATCAAATGCGATTTAGACTTATCTTCCTTGAGCATTTACTTTCTGAATATAGAGATCAAACCTTCCACATGTTATTCATGAAAACCACAATTTTATTCAACAAAAAATGCAAGGAAGCAACTTTTCCGCTTCTATTTTGAGTATACGATTACAAAATTGTCAATTAACAACATTTTGGAGGATGAAAAACGAAGAAAGAAAAGGAATCTTGTAGAATCAGGATATCTTTATGCTTAGAACATATGCTCCAGCTTCTCTTGTTCTTTGTAGTATTGAGCATACCTGCGTTCATTTGTAAGAGAAAAGGACTGATTCAGAATAAGAGTATTGGAAACAATAACAATAATTGAGACTTGAGAGTGATAAAATGAGCGTCAACGTACAATATGGCACATGAGAGCAGAGTTTTATCTCAATCAATAGGCATCTAAAGGTTACTGAATAATTATGATTCTTAAAGATAAGGCATACAAAATTTGATCCCCTTGAAAAAATATCGAAATTTAGTGAATCACATAAACTCATCTGTTGACAACAAACTAACATTACTACTACTAGCTCAACAATATTTTCAACACTCAGAACTCAGAAGTAACAGATAGAAACGTTTTGATTGGTAATAACTCATCTTTTTTTTTCATCATGAATTCTTTTTTTTTTTTGTGCAAAATTTCATCATGAATTCAATATCTCTATTTGGTGGGAGGAATACTTGGTTTAGATAATCAATCATTATATGTTCGGCAGAGCTATACCGCCGCGATTTACCCCTAATCAAATTGACTAATCGTTTGAGCAATTTATCGGCCGATTAGTATCTTAGGTGTTTAAAATCGCCGATTTAAAAAAAAAATTGAACTAAATTTGTACTCTTTGTTCAAAAAATCAGCCGCCGTAGGCGCTCAGCGGAGGAATACCAGCATTGCTAGCCAACACTTCAGTCAAAGCCGCCGAGGAGTACTTCTGCTTTGCTTCCTTCACAGTTCGCGTCTGGTTCAGAGTGTGAATAATGATGAAAAGAGGGTTTTTCCAGTGTTCTAAAAAGCGGTCTAGGCGGTCGCCTAGGCCCCGACTAGGCGCTAGGCTCTCATACGATGCATAGATGACCGCTTTGATCGCCTAAATAACATAAATCTTGTTTAATGTATTTTTTCAATTTCAATAAGTTATATATATATATATATATATATATATGTAGTTATATATATTCATAGGTTGTTTAATATAACTTTAAATAAATGTTTTATCTAGTTTTTGTTTATAATTAAATTTCATATTTTTTAGTTTTATACAGATATTTAATATAATTTTTATATATAATATCATATTTACAATGTTTTATGTTATAAACGCCTAAACCGCCTAAAAATCGTCTAGGTCCTGATTAGGCGTTCTAGGCGATTTTAAGCGCCTAGGGCTTTCTTGAACATTGGTTCAAAAATGGTATACTATATATTTATATTTAAAAGTCCTCAACGAATTTCAAGTTGTGTAAGTACTCAATAATTACATACATAGCTACACACACGATTCAAGTGACTCAAAAAGAAAGATACGTGCATATTGCATGTCGCCTTCCAAAGTTAATGTTGTTTCCATAATACACGCATTGCTTCATCACACGTCTTGACGGTCTGGTTATAGTTTCTTTAACTAATTTAGCTTACTAAACGGAGAAAAAGAGTTTTAGCTTACTAATAAGTGAGCCCTCTTTCTTTTTTATGTCAACAATTAGTGAGCCCTCTCTATCACTAGCTTGCTAATTACTTTTGTTAGGTTCCGGTATTTACTCGATAGAAATCTTTTAATGGTTGATATCTATTGTACTCATGAATTATATATGATGTTACCTTAAATGATTTATTTTCCTCTAACCAAGAGGTTTTGGACTTATGGCAAGAACCAAAACATGTAATATAGTCTCCTCTCAAGCACAACTTAAACTCGCGATTTCTGGATCCAAACAAGTTTTAGTCAACCAATTCTAGAGCTGATGTTTGGTAGCTCTGGATTCAAAGACATTATCTCTAGCCAGGGCCGTCCCTGAGCACAATCAGGTGAAGGTTTGGGATGAAGATGGATATGATACCACATTAGTATATTAATTAATTACCATGTAAAAGTTTGAAATATTGAATGGTTTATTGTATTTTCTTAAAATATGAAAACGTACACACATCAATTTTTTATACAATATATGGAATAAATAGATGTACTCCAAATATAGACAAAGCAAAGATATCAATCACAACAAGTCAACAATATGTCTGAACACAAACATTTAAAATTCTGACTAATCTTTTTTCGGAAGTTTTTGATAATATATGTATTATGGAAAAATATGATTTAATTGATATGGGAACAATTAATTGATTAGGCTATAATTAAATTTTATGTGGCTGAAATTTGTATGTGAAAATCAACTTTATTTTTTCATCATTCTATTTATATATATGGAGACAAAAGAAATCATTAAAAGTTGAGGAGCTTGAAAAGAAAAAAAGAAGGAGAGAGAGAGAGCGCAAATGGAGTGGAAGAAATGGTACTTAGACGCGATTCTTGTGCCCTTAGCTCTCATGATGATGATTTGCTACCACATCTACTTGTCCTTCATGGTTCGAACCAATCCCTTCTCCACCCTCCTCGGCATTAACTCTCACGGCCGCCGGATGTGGATTTCTGCTATGATCAAGGTTTTTTATATTCATCTCCATTGTATAGTATATTCTTCCGATCCTATCAAAAATGTAATTTTTTTTAACAATATTATGTTATAAATTAGTCATTATGGCTCGCATCGCTTAGAGCTTTGGTTTGAGGATTAATAAGTTTAGATGGTATGGGAAACTAGTCTTGGTTGGTCTGAAATCTTCTCATAAAAGAAAATTAATAATTGGAGAAATATATATATATGTGTAAGATTGGTTATTGTTTTTTTTTGTTGTTTAATTTTTCAGGAGAATCAGAAGACGAATATATTGGCCGTACAAACACTGCGTAACATAATAATGGGAGCTACACTGATGGCCACGACC